TATTTTATTTTATTTTATTTTATTTTATTTTATTTTATTTTATTATTTTATTTTATTTTATTTTATTTATTTGGTTTGTCAATTGCTTAAAAGATAATAGGTATAAGTAAAAACATAGTTATGAATACATGGATACATATAAGAAAAATAAAAGAAACAATAGGACAGGGATAGTAGGCACGTTGGTGTGCTTATGCACACCCCCTACAGACCTCTTAGGAAAGGGGTGAGGTCAATAGTAGAAAGTCTAAGGTTAAAGTTTTTGGGGTTTGGGGAAGAAAGCACAGAGTCAGGTAGAGTATTCCAGACATTGACCACTCTGTTGCTGAAGTCATATTTCCTGCAATCAAGTTTGGTGCGGTTAACCTTGAGTTTGTATCTATTGTGTGCTCTTGTATTGTTATGGTTGAAGCTGAAGTATTCATTGACAGGTAGGACATTGCAATGTATGATTCTATGTACAATACTTAGATCGGACGGAAGGCGGCACAGTTCTAGATTTTCTAGGTCTAGAATTTCAAGTCTGGTGGCATAAGGTATTCTGCAATGAGTAGAGGAGTGGAGAATTCTTCTTGTGAAATATTTCTGGACTTTCTCAACTGTGTTAATATCAGATACATAATGTGGGTTCCAGACTGATGAGCTGTATTCAAGTATTGGTCTAGCAGATGTTTTGTATGCTCTAGTTAATAGTGTGATATTACCAGAGAAAAAGCTACGTAAGATTAAGTTAACAACTCTTAATGCCTTTTTGGCTATGTAGTTACAGTGGGCTCTCACACTTAGATCATTAGAGATGAGTACTCCAAGATCCTTGACAGAGTTTGGATCATCAACAAGGTCTTGGCTATTCAGCCTGTATTTTATTTTCTGATTTTTTTGCCAATATGTAGGACAGAGCATTTATTTGTTGAGATTTGAAGTTGCCATTTGTTTGACCATTCTGATACATAGTTGAGGTCTTTTTGAAGGGTAGCAGTATTGTCTGTGGTGTTGAATAGCTTTACATCATCATCGAAGAGAATGCAGTTGCTCTTAATGTGATCACAGAGGTCATTTATGTAGAGTATGAAGAGAGTGGTCCTAGAACATTGCCTTGGAGGACACCACTGTTGACAGGTACAGAATTTGATAGGACGCTCCCAATTTTGACCATTTGTTGTCTGTTTGACAGGAATGCTTCTATTCAGGTATGCAAGTTTCCAGACATACCATAAGATTTTAGTTTTACAAGTAGTTTGTCATGTACCACTGAATCAAAGGCTTTACAGAAGTCTATGTAGATTGCGTCTATTGCTTTGCCCTGGTCGAGTTGTGTAGTCCATATGTTTTTGCAGTGTAAGAGTTGCAGATTGCAGGATAGTTTTCTTCTGAAACCAAATTGTTTATTAGAGAGTAGGTTGTTTGAGAGTAGGTTGTTAGTGGAGGATGATGGATTGGTTAATAATTGATTCCACGACTTTACAGATGACACAGCATAAAGAGATTGGTCTGTAATTTTCAACTAGGCTTGGGTCTCCCTTTTTTCAAGATGGGGATGACTGTGGCTTGTGACCATAGTTTTGTCAAGGAGCTGGTCCTGAAAGATTTTTCAAAGATTATGGTTCGGCTATGGCAGTGGATAGCTTTTTTAAGAAGTAGGCACATGTTCCATCCAGTCCAATAGATTGAGATGGTTTTAGATTGCGTAGTGCTTTTTCAACATATTTGATATGTATTAGATCATTGTAGTTTTCTGTGGTTCGGCGAGGAAATACTGGGCATGATCCATTGCTGTTTACAAATACTGAGCCAAAGAATGTGTTAAAGAGGTTGGCTTTGATGGTGTCATCACTGCAATCTTTGCCATTAGGTCCTTTCAGGGGTGGGATGAACCTTGAGTCTTTTAGTTTGTTGTTTACAAAATTGTAGAAAGCGTGGGTGGAATTTGTGCGCAGAAGGTTTAATGTAATAATTAGTGCATTCAGTTGTTATCTGGTGGCATAGATTTTTGTATCGGCTTTTAAAGTTGGCAACGTGACCAGATTTATTTTTTCGCCAAAGTGATCTCTTTTTGGATTGAAACTTCTTTATTGTTATGGGTAATCTGTTATTTCTGGTTTTTGGAGTAGTTATTGGTACATATAGTTTGATGACTCTTTTGACTTCAAGTAAAAATATGTTGTAATGTCCTTCAACAGTATTGCATCCAGTGAACAGAAATTGCCAATCAAGGGATGAAAGATCATTGTCTGTAAGATCATAGTTGCCTTTTTTGAAGTTATAATTGGGGATCACATCGTTGTGTTGATTTTTGTGTGGACATATGTTGAGACAAAATCAATCATGCTGTGGTCACTGTTGGAAAGGGGTTCTTTAATTTGTATTCCATAAATTGAATTCAAACTGTTAGGAATAACAAGGTTACCTAACGTAGTTTGGGTAAAATAATATATATAAACTATGATAGTGAGTTTAAGTGTGTGTCACTTTAAACTGTAAAGCATGTAATTTTGGGTGCGGTTGTAAAATCGCCATAAGTGGGAGCAAGAGAACTGGATTGATTGCTGACTTACTGGATTGCTTGCAGACGATGATGGATTGATGGTTTGATAACTGCGTGTTCTCTGCTGTTGCTGAAGGAAGAAAAGAGGTTTGACTTCTTCATATCTCTACTGCGAGGAGATATATTACTGGACTGATATTTGTAAGTTTAATGACCTCTTTTTCAACACTGGACTTTGCAACTGAATAATCCCCGGACGGACTGAAATAGTGTATGATATATGGACTGTTTGACTATGCTAAAAATCTTGCTGGAATAAACTATTTAACTAGCACAGTGTATCTGTTTTACTGAGTGTAAGCTACAAAAACGTTTGTCTCACATCTTTGCCTGCCTGCCTGACTGCCGTGCAGATTCTGCTAGGGTGTATATCCCTAACACAAACTATTGCAGAAGATGAGATTGAGGCAGTTGTTAAGGGTAGTGTTGTTGGTTTCTAGTTATTCTAGTCCCAGATTTGTTACTGCATTGTAGAAAGTTGCATGTGTGGGTTCAGTTTTACATTCGTTTAGGGTCTAGTTAATGTGAGGTAGATTGAAGTCACCAAGAAAGATAAAAGAATGTGGTCAGGATGTTGCCCATGTTAGTAGTGAATTTAGCTTGTTTACATGTTCGACGTCATAATCAGGGACTCTGTAACATAGTAAGAATCAAAATGTGACATTTAAGGTCAGTTCACAGATGGTGGTCTCAGGAAGAGCAAGCTCTTGGGTTACTTGGATGTTTTTTAAATGTAAGGACTTTTTATAGAAGATAGCAACACCACCTCCTCTACGAATTTCACAATCTGATCGGTAAACATGATAGTCTCTTGCTGTGGTAATGGAGTCAGAGAGAGATGCATTGAGCCATGTTTCACATACAAATATGATGTCGAATTTAGCCATATTTAGTAAGAGGAGAAATTCAGGTATTTTATTCACAAGGCTTCTTGCATTGAGTAGCTTGCATTTAAGGCCAGTTATAGTTGGAATTGAGGTAGTTAGGGGCATGCGTGCCTAGTTTTGATGGTGGGTGATGGTGGGTTGAATGAGGTAGGGTTGGATGTGGAGTTGTGCGTTGTGTGACTTACTTTTGATACAATCAGTGCAGTAGTCAATATATAGATCCTTCTCTCCATTTTCTAGACATCTTTTGAGTTCCTTGTGGAGTTCATGGGAGCGGATTCTTTGCAGTATGGATAAGTCTAGACTTGAGCAAAGTTTTTTGTGGTTGGGATTGGTTTTTGCAATGGCGTTTATTGTATGAATGAATATGTGTTGCTGAACTCATTTTTGCAAACAACTCTACAAAATTAGCTGCTTACACAAAAAAAATTAAAATACTAGGTGGTGTGGTAGCTAATGCAGTCCAACATAATTAAATTGAAGATAAGTTATTTTCAGCAAAGAAGAAAAGAAACCACTCAAGCAGAAGATGAGCAAAAACTAACTGACAAAATGATTTTGGAATACTGCAACAGAAAGAACTCCAATTTGTCAAAATATGAAGCTAGGAATTATTACGAAAAGGCATTTTACTTCCTGTCACACAACTAGATAATCTAGTACCTAAAAATAACAGGAGTCAGTAGAAACATCAGAAACTTTGTGGAAAGATCAATAGCACACATTTGCTGGTCAATGGTGATAGACTGGAGGGGAGGCAATCATCAAGAGAGGAATCTTTCAAGGAGATTCACTATCACCATTTCTGTTTGTCATTGTATTGAATCCTTTGAAAACAATACTGAACAAGTCAGGTCATGGCTATCAAACATCAAAAACATTTTCCAGTCTATTCTATAACCTTTATATGGACAATCAGAAGCTGAATGAAAAAACACCATCTGAAATAGAACCACTGTCCAATTTTATAGCAAAGAAATTGCAATGAATTTGGAATGAAGAAATATGCCACCCTTACTATCAATAGGAGAATAAAAATGAAAACTGAAGGACTCAAGAACCTTATGGAAACAACATCAAGAATATGGATAGATAACTACAAATACCTGGCTATCCTTCATGTTGACAACATTCACACACATTGAAATCAAGAAGGAAGTTAGTAATGAATAAATCAGAAAAGTAAAAAAAAAAAAAAGTCCAAACTCAGTGAAAGAAATATCATCAAAGCAATCAATACCTGGCATTTTTAGCCATTAGGTGCACAGTTGGAACTTGGGACTGGCTAAAGCTGAAATAGAAGCCTTAGAAAGGAAAATAATAACAATGCAGTGATCTATTTATCACAGCATAGATGAGTGTGAAATGTTTCAAATATAACAGTTTCAAATATAACAATCAGTTAAAGAAAAAGAAAAGGCATTGGAAGACTATGGAGTGAAGAAAAGTGAAGAAAATGCACTAAAGCTATATACTACGAAGCCTTACTGGATACTAAAAAGTCCAAATTGGTCTATAAGAAAGAAAGACTAAGTGAAGAATAATGAAGAGATATGGAAAAGTAAAATATTACATGTATATTAGAAAATTAGCAGCCAAAGCAGATAACAAGAAGACCTGACAATGGTTAAAAGCAGGAAAGTTGAAGAAAGAGACAGAAGGGCTGATTCTGGCTACATAGTACCAAGTCTTAAAAACAAAAGAATAAAAAGTCAGAATTGAGAAGAGAACAGTAGACAGCTAATGCCATCTCTTCAGATAAGGTGAAAAAAAGTAGATCGCCTTGTAAGCTGCTACTATGCATATTACAAACAATGGCATGATAAAGTATTACCAATGATACATTGGAATATCTTTTTAAAAAGGGCACTTCCCTGCTCACAAGAACTAGTAGGATAAAAAATATATATAAAACGAAGAAACCAAGCACTCTGGGACATTAATATTCCAGTAGACAAGCAACTACCATTCAACAGCTGAGACTTTAAAAATGTTGATAAACAAGACAAAAAAGTCTAAATGGTAGAAGGGAAAGAACTGGAGAAAACCACAACATATAAAGACCTGCAAATAAACTAAAACTATGGCAAAAGAAAGCAAAGATAGTACCATCTGTAATATGTACTTGGGTGCAATTCCAAAATACACACCTGAAAAACCATTGCATTGACAAAATCATTGTCAAACAACATCTATTCCAGGTCCTTGGGAGGGACTTAATAGATGGAAGAAAATGCCAAATCCAGTCTATACATCTGGCTGATAGTGCAACCAACCATAATAATTTAATTTTGTTTCAAATTCAAAAACTTAGTCAGTGAGCTGCTTAAAAGCTTAAAATCACAGTAGAGATCATGTTCACTTCTGAATATGTCAGCCACAGTTGCTGGAGAAATGTCAGATTCTGAATAATCATAGTTTTTAGCCTCGAAACTCATCACAACTTGCTCTCTTTTTGTTCTCTAATTGCTTATGAATAATTTGTTTCATGTTTAACATAGGTTTATAATGTATATGCAATGACAGTAATGCTGTCATATCTCATATATAAATATTTTCTAATATCAGTGCCTTCACTTCTGAAAACAGATCATTTTATGTGTCTAGAGGCAATCCTGAAACTGGTCACACAGGTTATATCTTTACTGAAATAGAACAGTTTAAATGCTTCAAAAATCATTTCATAATTGGATCACCTAGAACTGTTCATTTTGGAAACAGAACATTTCAAGATGGGATGTTTTGTACGCTTCAAAGATATAATCATGCTGAAATCTGTGTGAAGTATTTCTGCCTTTACCCAGAGGTCACCAAAGAAACACACAATGAATTTCTGACTTTAATGTTACATTCCTTTCTAGCTCTGATTTCCATGGATATCAGTATCACCAGATGTCATTCAATAAAATGTAGGATGCTTTTTTATCAAATGAACTGCCAGTTTCCTCAATTTAATCTTTTCTACATTCAGCCTAGGTGTCAACATTACTTTCTATTAAGATCTTCTAAATTGGATTCATTAGCACTCCTATCTCACATGCACATTTTTTAATGTGAAAAAATAATAATTTATATAGCTTCTCTATTTGTATGTAGGGTATAGTATAGTCTAATGAATAGAATTTAATAGAATAGAATGGAACAGCTTTATTTGCCAAATGTGATTAGACATACAAGAAATTTGTCTGGTGCAAAAGCTATCAGTGTACATGCAAACCAACAGAGTAATAAAAATCATAATAAAGATACCAATAAGAGATGGTAGTAGAGAAGATGTGAAGGGTAATAATAATACTACAGCCATACAACATGGGTAAATATGCTTAGGACGTAAGACAGTGAGGACTAGGTGTTCAACAGAGTGATTGCATTAAGGGAAAAACTGTCCCTGTTTTCATATGCAATGTCCTACAGTGGCATACCAAAGGGAGGAACTGAAACCAGAGGTGGTGTTCAGCAGGTTCTGACCAGTTCTGGAGAACCAGTAGTGGAAATTTTGAGTAGTTCAGAGAACCAGCAAATACCACCTCTGACTGGAGATTTTACAGTATCCTTCCCCTGCCACACCCACCAAGCCACGCCCACAGAACTGATAGTAAAAAAATTTGAATCCCACCACTGATTGAAACAGTTTATATTCAGGATGTGAGGAGTCTGTAGTTATTTCTTAGCCCTTCTCAGTCCTATACAGATCTTTGGAAAGCAGGCTGGTTACTAGTTTTTTGTCTGCAGTCCTAATTATCTGTTGGAGTCTGTACCGGTCTTGTTTAGTTGCTGTACCAAACCACACAGTTACAGGAATACAAATGTCAGACTCAGTAATTCCTCTGTAGAATTATATCAACAGCTCCTCAGGCAATCTGATGAAGGAAGAACATTTGGTTTACTTTCTTTAATGATGCTTCTAATGTTAGGTGTCCATCTCAAATCTTGGCAGATTATAGAACCCAAAGACTTGAAGGATTCTACTGCTGATACTGTGCTGTGCAGTGGTGGTGTTCAGCTGGTTCGCACCGGATCAGGAGAACCAGTAGCAAGAATTTGGTGTGGTCGCCGAACCGGTAGTAAGTTCTGGCTGGCCATGCCCCCAACCCAGTCACCCTCCCACCCAATGCTCGCTTATCCGCCTGCCTAAGGTATTTATTTTTCTTCCGCCCCCCGACAATCAGCTGTGCATAGATCAGCTATGCCAGGATTCCTCTTGCTAAGGCCCAGGAAGACAAAAAATGGAGAGAGGACCTCAGCCCCCCCTCCATTTTTTGCCTTCCTGAGCCTCAGAGGAGCCTTAGGCAAGCAAAAACGCCCCCTCCAGAGGCTCCTCTGAGGCTAGCAAGCTCCCAAAATGGATCTTGGAGGGGTGCTGTGTGCAGTCCGGAAAAATAAGACTATGCTGGAGCGGAGAAGTCGTGAGCGAAGTGTGAACCAGGGTCAACTAATGGACATTAAGCTATATAAAGAAATAAAGAAATAAAGAAATCCTTAGGAAATATTGTAAAAGTGGTGACCAGAGGGAGAGAGAAGAAAATTGCAAACAGGTAAAAGTGGCTTAGAACTTTGAAAAGAGCTAAATTGAAGGAGGAAGTTAGAAGAAAATATTTGACTATAAAAGACTTGGAAATTAAACTGGATAAATATATGATTTTGGCACTAAATAGGCATAATTAAATGCTGGAATTAAATGTGTTAAAATAAAAAAAATAGCTAATAATTGGAATCATTGAATTATTGGAATTTAAAAGCCCCAAAAGGGGGAAAATGTGAAAAGAAAGAGTGGAACTTGGATATAACAGAGAGTTCCACCTAATGGTAAAGGAAAAATTTCAGTGACTTTGAAAAGTGCTTGGTCCTTTTAAAACTGGAACTTGAGATAAAATAAGAGGAACTTTGTTATAATAATACAGAAACCCTGAAAAGTGAAAAAACAGAATATTAAAAAGATAAAAAAAAGAAGTGTGAAGAAATTACCCTGGAATTACTTGGTGATTTTGGAAAAAGGAATTAACAGAAGGAACCTGGAAATAAAGATTTATGGGCATTGATTGTTGGAAATAAACATTAAAGATGCTGGTTGAAATAAATTATTGGACAATTGGATTGGACTTAAACATCAAAGAAAGGGGAAAATAAAAATTAAAAGAAGTGCACAAAAATGGCAGAACTTTGTGTGGAAATAAAATAGGAATTAAGAAATATAAAGAAAATGATGCATGAATGAGTGGAAATGTGCAGTATTATATTACAAAAATTAGAAATGGCGAAAGAAGAACAAAGAGAACCAGAAGGCAAGGAGTTAGGATTAGGGTTAGGGAACAAAGAAGAAACCAGCCCTAAAGAACAATTGGAACAATGAATATTAAAACAAAGGGGGAAAAGAATCCAAATTAAAATTTGGAGGTTTGATGGGATAATTAAAGAGAGAATTGTTTGGAAAATTAAACAAAGAAAAAGAAAACAGCATAAAGGGGAATTACAGAAGAAAGCTCACGAGAGGGAGGAGGATAAAAAATGGAGTAAGAAATGGAGGGAAAAAATAAAGAAGAAAAGGGAGAATAAAGGAAAAAAAGGGGATGTAGAAAACGAACAAAAATAAAAATAAATTATACAGTTAGGAGAACTAGAGATAATGGATAGATAAAGAATAGGAAAGGGGATTCTGCAAGGTAATGTGTTGTGGTATATATAAGAATATAGAATTTAAAATTCAAAAGATTGGAACTGATATTTATTTTTTGCTTGGTTTTTTTTAAGGATTACTGTTTAATGATATACAGATATAACTGGAATAAATGTGGAAATGGGAATTTATGAAAGAATACTAATTACATTTAATAAAACAAAGAATAAAGTTAAAATGAATTATGAGAATTGTAATAAAAAGATTAATATCAGTTTCTATAATTAATTTAATAGATTAATATATTTGAAATAATAAATGATTTAGAATGTAATTGAGGGAAAGAATACCATGCGGAATCTGACTTAAAATCTATATATGCATATGTAATATGTAGTATATAGGAGATTATTGTTATTAACTTAGAGTGTGATAATTAAAAATGATTATATCATGGTAAATTTTTATTATGAATTAAAGGGGAGTAAATTGAGTGATGCCTAAGGCAAAAGGCTGGCACATTTGAAATTGATAATTAAAAGGGGCAATTTTGAACTATTAGAATTAAGATGAAATTTATTGAATAATGAAATATAGTACGTGATAAAATTGCAGATGTGACAGATAAAAGTACATAAGTACAATGAATATAGAAATAAAATAATAATTTTAGATAACATTGTAAAATAAGACATGAGAATACTTAAAGAAAAATGATATAAGCTATGATATGAATTTGATATTTATGAATAAAAATAAGGGTGATAAATATCAGAATACTTGAGAATATTTAAAGGAAAATGGGAAAAGTAATGATATAATATGAAACTGAATATAAAAGATGAATATGTAACTAAGGTCATGTTTGTATTGAAATGTAAAAACCTAGAACCACTTTGTTCACCAAAAGAGATGTTTTTAAAATATAAAAATTAAAAAAGCAACTGGATGTTTTTGAGTGGGATTTTTTTTTGCCTTGAAAACATATCATCTAAGAAGCTTCTTCAGTTCAAGAAGAAGTTCAGTTTAGTTAAGGAAACACGTACTTACAAGACTACCTAAGAATGTAAAGTCTGCTAGATTAAAATTAGTCTATTCAGAATTACTAGGTTTGTGTATGAGAAAAGAGAAAGGAGACAGTTTGGTGCAATAGTTAAGCAGGGGTGGATTCAATGTTTTTAACAACTGGTTCTGTAGGCGTGGCTTAGTT